CACAAAACATACTAGGAGAGGGATGAGCAATAACAGTTATGAAGGTATTTTACACGTATGCTTTCTATGGTGATAATCTCTTAATTCAGGCGTATCTTGCTTTGGAAAAGTGACTTTTTCTGTAATCTTTCTTTGGCCTAGTCCTTTTATCAGCAAATTGTAAATCTATGACTTACATGTAAATATAGAACACATATTTATGCAGAAAGGGACATATAACATGTGAGGCATCAAAATCTAGATTCCAAGAGATTCTAGCTCTAAAATGAAATTATAAAATTTTCTGGTAGAAAATACAAATCCCTGATTAAGGGCCAAGTAACTAATTATGTGAGAAGAACATAGGGAAATTCTGGCAGAATGGAGTTGGAAAGTGTCTCTCTTTCTTATAGAAAGAGAAGTGGGTAGTGTTCATAAAGGTGAACAGGATAGTAAAGTTTCTAAAACAGTATCATATCAGTTTTAGTTGATTATAAGTATGTATTTGTCGGTAAGTGCTATGGTGTCCCAAAAGTTGCCATACACGGAGAAAATGGAAAATTGTAGGCTAAATGAACTTTTATTTACAAAAGCTTCTGTATGGATTAGCTGACTACACCCTCCCCCCCACCCACACATGCACATATGAAGTCTTCTCTGATGGTCATGGAAAACACGTTCCAAAAGATCTGTTGGTATGCAGGTTTCCTTATGTATGGAGATTTTGGGACACTCTGTAGACTAGATCAGCAGAGGCCATTGCCTGCCCTACTAATATTTTGCCCTAGGCAGACCCTGTTTGGAGTGTCATGTTCAGTTTGGGCATTACATTTTAAGAAGACACTAACAAAATAATGTGGTTTCATTTTGTATATTTCAAACATTAAGGGGCTACAAGTGTTCTTGTTAGAGGATAATAGTATTTGCATAATACTTAAGTCAGGGCTTTTGATGTGCCCCTCACCAGAATAGTGCTCACTGTATCCCTAAGTAAGTTTGTATCCTTCTCCCCCCTTTTTGCTTTTTCGTGTCCTTTATAGCTCTTGTGTCCTTGAGTACCCATAACTGAGCTCTCACTTATTAGTGACAACATATCAGGTATTGTTTTCTATCCCTGAGATATTCACTTAGGATAATGGTCTCCAATTTCAAAAATAGTATGTAATAGAAAAAGGTGAACAGGATAGTAAAGTTTCTAAAACAGTATCATATAAAGAGTATTTTGAAGTTACGGATAGTCATGTGTAAAGAAATTATACTTACCTTAGAGAAGAGAGAATCTAACAAATATGTGATAGCTTTCTTTACATTTTTGAAAGTGGTGTCTTATAAGCATATTCTATATATGCATAAATATTCTATGTAGTTGCAGTGACTAGAAATAGGACCGGGGGTAAAATTATAACACAACATATTGCTATACACCATGAGGAAGAATTATCTAATGTAGGGAGACTTACTAAGGTAGTAAAAAGTTGCCTTGAGAGTTAGTGAATTCTGTGATGTTTTCAAATGTTCAACCAGAACTGGGAAGTTATTTAATAATCTTTCAGAATGGCTTTCTTTATTCATTAGAGGTCAGGCAAGTTGTCAGAGCTTCATTTTAACCTTAGTATGCTAAGAAACATTAGGAGGCTAAAGAAATAGATTTCTAGAATTGTGGGCCATGTCACTTTGTTTGCATAATTGAACATTGGTTCTCTGGGATCATGCTGCTTCACTGGACAGTAGAGGACCTGGCTGTAACTAAACAAGTATTTAATAAATGGCTGAGACAGTGGCTGCTCTTGCTGTTGCTGCTCCTTTTACTGTTGCTTTTCTGCCAGTCATAGGGAGAGAGGAAGAGAATGAAAAGGTCTTAGCCTACTAGGATCACACAATGTAGTGTCAGAGTTCTATAAACATAAATCCTGTAATTGTGACAAGTATTATAACAGAGTTACATGCAACGTTCTAGGACAGGTTTTCTTAACTGTAGTATTATTGCATTTTGGACTGGATAATTCCTTGCTGTGGGGGCTACCCTGTGCATTATAGGATGTTTATCTGCATCTCTGGTCTGTACTCACTAGTTGCAGTAACATCCCCACACCTGTCCTAACAACTGAAATTTGTCTACAAACATTGTCCTATGTGCACTGGGTGACAAAATTGAAGAACTACTACTCTGGGGGACACCGGAATAACTCACTGTCTGAGGACGTTTGAACTGGTTTTATTTTAAAGGTCTGGCTTTGGTGTTAGGAATTCCTGCCAGTTATACCATCTATTGTTTCTTTCTTTCTTCCTTCTTTATGTGCATTTTAACCTTATTAACCACCTTACTATGCATGGATTGACAAGGATGTCAAATCAGAATACAATTCTACCCTATATGGCTATTAATTAATCTTAAGTCATCTGACATGCAAATGTAAAAAAGAAGCACATAGTTTCCCCTCTATCCATCAACCAGTTCTCCTTCCCTGACGAAAGAACAGCATTAGGAAAATAGCAATGACTGTGTCCCTTTAGAATAAAAGTTGTTTTACACATATACATAGTTGTTTTTACTTTAGTGGGGTATTTGACGATAGTTAACATTACTGTGAGTGGTTCAACCTTGGCATGTTAATTTTCTACTTACCATTTACCAGTTTTGGATAATAAGAACTACTGATTATGGGGCATTTCTGATCATTAGTTTTTTCTTCCTTCAGCCTAGCAGGAAACTCCCAGGATGGAAACACTGTCTTTCCCCAGATATAATGTAGCTGAGATTTTGGTTCATATTCGCAACAAGATCTTAACAGGAGCTGATGGTAAAAATCTTTCCAAGAATGATCTTTATCCAAATCCAAAGGTAAAATGTGGTTACATGTTCATGTGAATAATGATATTTGTGAATAAAGTAAGCTATTAGTTCTTCTGTGTGTCAAGAAAGGCATGTGCTATTTGATAGAGGCTAGTCATGTTCATCCAGAGAAAATCTCTCACCTCAAGTAATTTTAAAATAACATTAAGTTTATATGTGGGGCATCTTCTATATTCCCTTTAGGATTCAATTCTTTAATATGGTCGTTTTCTTATTAAGAAAAAAACTTTTAAACCATATTAAAGTATATTAAATTTTTTTATTATTATTGGAATGGTGGTCTGAGGATATCATTTATTGGTAGGGCTTGAAGGAACTTATTCCAAGTGGTTTCCAACCACACAAAAAACACTTACAAACAATTCTCTTCGGAAGCTTACTTATTAATTTTTCTTGCATTATGCTCCAGGGGGAATTGACTTGTTTTGACAGGCATTGTTTCTTATATCTTTAGTTATTAAATGCAAAAAATGAACTATTTATGTGTCACAGAAAATCCCAAAGTCTCCTTCCTGTTTTCTGTGTTGATCTTGAAGTGATAACATAGTGAAACCTGGTTTGATGATATAGAACTCAAATTTTTCAGTCTTGGTACTCTTTAATTCTTTAAAATAGAAGGAATAATCTTAATAAATGATAGGTCTTTAAACTGTATAAATTTAGCTTTATGAAAAGATTACCACATTTTCCCTGTATTTCTCTTTTTACTGCTCATCCAATAAAATTGTATGTGGATCAGAACAGGTTCACAAGCCAGCATTTGGGAACTATTCATTTAGAAGATAAGATTTTTAAAATCCTGTATTATT